GGTCCAGATGTGGGTTCCACCACTGCTTGCAGCGCCGCCGTCGTTTGTTGTCCCAGGAGTCGTACTTCGCGTGTCTTGTCGGTAGCTCGCTATGCATTGACAACACACCTAGTGAACCGTTCATAAGCACTCTTTATGTCACACTGCTGTTTCTCTGATGCGTCCAAGTCTGCTATCATGTCTTTTATCAGCCTCTTGTTTTCATCAGATGAAAGTTTTGAACACTGTTCATGGGTCACCACGCTCATAGGGGTTAATTATAAGGGGTCTCCTCTTGTCTTTACAAGAAAAAATCAGCACTGGACTACATAGCACTGCATGAACTACATTTTATGTTAGCAGTGAAAACCATTACAGTTAAAAGTCCAACAAAGCAAATGCAGGCTGAAGATGGATATTGTGTTCTGATGACGTCTGTTTAATGATGCTGAAGAATCTATGGTAGGTGGTCTGTTTCGTGTCTGGAAGTAGTCAATAAATCAGGCAACATCTTGTTGATGACCATGGCATGGATAGTGTACAGCTGGTAGTGAATAGTGGGCTTATGCCGAAGGTGCCGTCACAGTAGAAGGTGTTGGCTCTGGAAAGGTGTTGGAGGTTGTGGTGAAGAACCAATTAGAATCCGACATTAACTATGGTCGGATTAACAGCGGTCAAAACGGGAGTAGATCACTCTTTAACAAATAATAAGTGACTATTTTGAAAATTCAAAGACTATGTTCTAAAGGAAAAAAGTAACTGCATAGCATATAGTTGCATAAAATAAAAGATATTTGAAAAGTTACAAAAATAACCTATAATAAACCCTTAAAAAATCCGAGTTTGTTGTTATTTTTCAAACGTAAGCTAAGGTTTGTTGACAACAATCCGTGCTTTTACATAAGCCTACTGGGAACAAGATGACCTAACGCAGTCAACTGAGTGATCAGTAGAAAATTCATTCGTATTCCGTGACCTAGAAGAAGACTCGTAACCCTGTCGTACGCCATTATTGCCAATAATCGTGGCAAACAAATCACATCGCGCGTAGTAAAACGCATTTCGAAGCACCGTTAAACTATGAAACTTTGCTAAACTATGCAAAGCGCAACTTTAATCAGCAATCAAACATATTTACAAAGGGAATGACTGTATTGCTGTTTTGCCCACGGGATGTAGGCTATTCTAGGTACCTGTTTGGCAATTCAGAGTTATCCTTTTCCTTGGTAATAGTACTAGACTACTTTCATCTCGATGCCCGTTTGCGCTTAGACAGGGCCCAGTCGTTAACATGGGCACCAGAGGGGCACGAGACGCCATCCGGCATGCCGGAATGACACGAGTAGTTACGAATGTAGAAAATTGTGTCACCGAGCTTGTCACGTAACGTATTACTACGCATAGATATCTCTGTACATTCCACGAAGTTTAGTTTCATGACTTTGTGGCTATTGAAATCGCATTTATTTTTTAAATAATAAAGTAAGAATAACATTGTATGATAAATACATTCTCACACTCGTGTGTTTTGGGATGGTTCATATCCTGCCTTAGGTGTAAACACGATGTGGTTTATTCTAATTCAGGATATTAACCATCCAAAAACACACTCGCGCGATAAGCTATATTTATGACAAGATATAACTTTTAGCCAAATTATCCGGTTTTTCGGCATTACTTGTGATATATGACTGATACTCATTTTTAATGCAAACAGGTAATAACATGATTTGTGGAGTTTTCCTTAATCACTGTTTAACTGTTGACAGGATAATATCGAAATCTGTATGATTTGACAATATCCAGCTTAAAGAGATGTAGTGTCAAATTGACGACTTCAAGCGATTGAAGGAAGATTGGGCAATTTTGTTCCATGTCTGAACCAACGCTTGTCCCAAATCAGCTAACGTAAATGTTAGCTTGACGTAAACGTCGCTCCATTTCATCCCAAGCGTGTTCGATACGGGACAGGTCCGGAGAAACAGCTGGCCAGGGGAGTACCGGAATGTTCTGCTGTCTCAGGAAATCTGTCACGACACGAGCGACATATGGACGGGCATTATCTTGTTAAAGCATGATGTTACGTGTCTGTCCTTTAAGGAATGGCTGCACACGAAGCCCAATGATCTCATCCCTGTATCGCAGACCTGCCAGATTGCCACTGACAATGACAACTTGTGTCCGACAATGAGATGTGATGCCATAACGCAACAACACCAAAGCACTCGTCAGCATACCGTTCACCTCGCGGTCTGTACACCCTTGCCCTGCCATCTGAGCTGTCCAGATGAAAACAGCATCCCATTCTTGGCCAGTGTACCGTCACGAGTGGACGACCGGTCCGAGGCAAATCTCTGGTGTTCCCATTATGTTGCAAATGTCTCCAAAGAGATGAGATCGTGTTTCGATGAACACTAAAATGCCTGACCACTACAGTTTGGTCGTTTCCAGTCTCCAGCATACCCGCAAAAGTAATGTGTCCCCATGGACCCTAGCATGGTGATCTGCCTTCAGTTGTTGGAGATCTAAAGCCTGTTTGTCTAATATGTGTGGTCCAAATAGTGATATTAGCTTTAACTTAATATTCTTTTTTTTTAATTCTAACTGTGATAGTTTAGTTCTTTTACTGTCCTTTGACGACAGGTTTTATAATATACACGTATTTCATTTCAACGTCAAATATGTTCTCGTCACGATAAGGTTGAAACATTGCCGATGTGACGTTAAATATTAACTCACTCACTCACTCCAGCATACCCACGGCGCGGAGACGCCGTGGCATAAGCTACATGACCAGTTTAGGTTGAAATTAACGTGTTTTCCACAATATTCAGAGGCTAGAGAATAATCAAACGTTCTTCATTTTTCAATGTCATGTGTGTGAACATCAGATGTCAAAAAGCATGCTAAAAGTAAGTTCCTTGTGCAAAAGGTGCACGACACGTGACATCAAATTTCACACATAGTGCTTTGCTACATGTTTATTTAAGGTTATTTTTATAACTTTTCAAAGAACTGTTATTTCATGTAACTATATTTTATGCACAGTTACTTTTTCTGTTAGTGTATAGTCTTTGATGTCATAATTTTAAGATTGATTTTCAATAAGAAATTGATATTAGCTGGTTCTCGCCGCGAATAGCTAGAAAACTGGTGATGCGGCGTAAAACAATAGTCATCTATGAATTTGTCACCCGGATTCGATTCTCCCCGTGGGTGCAATTTGTCAAGCCCATTTCTGATGTATCACGCTGGAATATTGCTAAAAGAGGCGTACTCACTCGATCGTCCTAAAACGGATGGGAATGGACCTCCCATGTGTGGCTCTTGCGATGAGGTGTTCGCCATTAAGCATATTCTGCTTTACTGTGTGGACTTTTCGACTGCAAGGGATTCACATTATGATGCGACAAATCTGAAAGATCTGTTTCCCCGTGTGAGTGGGGCATCTGATTGTAAACTACCTGAGGGAAGTTGATCGATATCATAAATTGTAACCATGTAATGTGAATAACAAATGCGTGCTTTTGAATTTAGTGCTGTTACATTTTCTGTTTCTAAATGACAGTGAAATGAATTTATATGTTGGATTATGTATTTGAAATGTTTATTAAAGCAGACTTGATCTCTACACTATATGGCTGGAAAAATGTCGATGTTATGTAACGCCCCACTGAACTCAACTCATTGTATTAGTATATGTCACATTCGATGGAAAAAGACCGACGTTTAACACGCACATAATTGGAGACTCTAATTTGAACCTAAAACTTGAATCGTGGCTTCCAATCCCATTTGTATTACATTGGTATTACACAACCATGAAACGCATGTCATAACAGCGAACATATTTAACTGAACTCCAGGGCACAAAGAATGCATTTTTCACTCCACATGTGTGCAGGAAAAGCAAACATAGCTTGTTTAATGTCCTTTCAGGTCTGCATGCCTGTCCATAAGTTGTGAGCTGTCTTCAACAGTTAATGGTAATTCAGTTTGCAATGTATAGCATTTCTTTATGATAATCAATAGGTCCCAGGATATCATTTAATAGTATACATTATCTGCCAAATAAACATTATCTCAGTCAGTATACAACAATAGACTGACTGACTGACTGACTGAGTTTAGTTTTACACCGCTTTTAGCAATATTCCAGCAATATCACGGCGGGGGACACCAGAAATGGGCTTAACCCGGGTCTTCGGCGTGACGAGCCAACGCTTTAACCACTAGGCTACCCCACCGCCCATACAACAATAGAAGCAAACATGACATTAATGTGAATTTTTTAAAACTGTAGATCTTGAGATTGGGCACGGAATACACAATGCAGTTGGGCGATTGAAAAACTCTCAGGAAATGCAAAGTAAAGGCATTTTCATCTTTACCTCTGAGCAAAGCATCTATTGACGATGTAAACTACGGCACCGATTTAAGTTGAGTGAGATTGTTGCCATGACAACCATTATCTGTTTTTCAATCTTGATTCAGTGTAAAGTGATAGACCTCTGCTTGCAGAAGGTGGAGGCAGGTATTTACACAGGAAGAGCAGCTAACATCTGTTTATGAAGCACTTACTGATAACTATGAGATGTGTTCAAAGTACCTGGTGGTAATATCCTTGTTTAATGGATGCGTGGCATTGAATATTCCAGCAAATGGGTTGTGTATGATCCAATCAGAGTCACTGGAAAAACATAAACAAACAGTTCAACTGAAACAACACATGCATATATCAATGCAAACCATTCTGAGCATCACCACTGTACAGTGACATCATGTATTTCATGTCGGCTTTAACACTTCTTTCACTCGTATTCTTATCAGACGCCAATAATTACAATACAACCCAGTCAACAATAAGAAGACTCAAGACACATCTCCAAGGGGAAACAGAATCTGCTGGTATCAGTGTTTACCACACTGAGGGCAGACAGGTGAACATTAGTATATTGCCGATGTCCATCTCCTGTCTTAATGCAGCCGAACAGACTTTCACTTTTAGTGCTGGTGTCAACATGAAATGGATCGACCAAAATTTGGCTTGGAACAAAACTGAGTACGATGGTATTGAAAACGTGACCATCTCTGCAGATTACGTGTGGGTACCTTCTGTTGTCATCCCTAACGGTATCGACAACGTTGTACCGACATCAGCACAACCACCAGTCATTTACAGTGAAGGAGTTGGAAAGCTTCTATTCCTTGAGAGTTTCAAGGCCAGTTGTCAAATAGACATCTCTCTGTACCCGTTTGACCAGCAGCGATGCAGCATACTCTTCATGCCTGTCAATGGTTACACATTAGAAGTATCTAGGTCGTCTTTTGGCAAGAGGCTACCGTCTTTCTTCATTGAGAACAGTGAGTGGGAGTTGGTTGACATACTTGCCAAAGTGGAAGACGTTGAAATGACATCAATAACCAATTTTGCATCGTTTGAGTTTCTTCTGAAACGCAAGAGCATGTTCTATATAGTGAGTATCATCTTACCCATGACTCTTCTCTCTCTGCTCAACGCCTGTGCGTTCCTCCTACCAGATGACTCCGGAGAGAAGATGTCCTACCTCATCTCCATATTTGTGTCATATGCAGTGTTCATGAACTTCGTCAACGACTCCATCCCCAAGTCTGGAGACGTGTGTCGACTGTCTGTGTACCTGAGCCTCGTTCTTTGCCAGAGCTGCCTGGCTATCATCACAACCATGGCCACTCTCAGTAATATCCTCCTATTTCAGCCAAAGACGGGTGTACAGCCTGCAGATGTACAAGTAGAGACGAAAAGCCCTGAACGTCCGTGTGTGAAGTCTGCTCCAAACGCCCGTCGAACAGAACGCGTCTTGTTTGGGGTGTTCCTGCTTCTGGCTCTGATGTCCCTACTGGTGTTTTGTATGTAGGAAGGACTGCGTCTGGAGGTGGACATCCTCAATGTCTGAGATAATGCCTTTAGTGTAATTACCTGTTCCAATGCCATAAATTGATGTGTAGATTGTCTCCTATAGTCTGTTTGCAGTGAAAACGTACCGATGAATTTCAATTTTTCCAAAAAGGTAAATCGAATAAAGTGGAATTATGATTGCGAATCCTCACAATTTTACCTTGCCCAATGAACATTAAAATCTCAGAATTTTATTCAACTTAGGATAAAAGTTGTTTAACAAACGATCATAGTTTCAAATCGCTATTATTGGTTTGTATTACAAGGGCGTATGCACATCAAATAAAACACCGAGAACAAATAGAGTTGGTCTAAGTTAACGCTCATCACGAACCGCACGTGCATTTGTTTCTCTGTTCCAACTACTGCTCTTACCCCTTTGTAATGCAAACCAATAATAGCGATTTCATTGCACGATCGTATGTTAAACAATTTTAATCCTAAGATGAATAAAATTCTGAGATTTAAATGTTTAATTGGTAAGGTAAAATTGTGACGATTCGCAATATTAATTTCACTTTATTTGATATACCTTTTTTTTTAAAGTGAAATTTATCAGTACGTTTTCACTGCAAACATACTCTAGTTGACTATGTGAATGAATATGTGCTTACAGTCAAAACAATCATGTGTTTAAATGTTTTTGTGGCACAGTGTGGGCATTCCTTAATGGTATTTACCAATGCAGTTAGCAACATTCCCGACTGTGTATTATAGAATCTAGCTGAGATATATATCCACACCCATAGCAGTCAAAGGAGATAACATTTATCGTGGAACGTTGAGAGAAAATGTATCCTTCAACATTAAAAACGAGTGTGAACAATCCAGTCATTTCCAAGACTTAAAAACAGAAGTGTGGCCTTGAACTCATTCAACATCTCATCTCCATTTCTTACTGTTGCAAAATACGTAGACAGCTTTAGCCCCACCCCAGGTCAAATCAGCTGTGGAAGACAATTTGATCAGCCAAAAGATAGACTTCTGCAAACGTCCATAAAATTCGTGCAATACTTTGACATTCGTGTAGCTGGACCAGTGAACACAAACAAGCTAAACCATGGATCAACAGCAATGAGCAGCAAGAGCGAAGGAACATACCTGCAGTAAACAACAAAGTGTGACACATTGACCTCTTTTCACATATTTCCAAACGAAATAGTTCTGTTCTGTGTTGATTTTGGTTTCGTGCCTGAATTGATCTTGTGTTTGACTGTGTGTTTATGTTTGTATGTGTAACAATGTTCGCAGTGTACATGTGACATTCAGGGGGCAGTGATGTTCTATAGTTGGACTGGGGGACACCAGAAACGGGCTTCACATATTGTACCAGTGTGGGGAAAGGAACACAGGCCTTCGGCGTGACTTGCAAATGCTTTAACCACTGGGCTGCCCTACTGCTCTTTTTGACACAGTGATACTTTTGTATTCGTGTGTATTGATTTGTGAACTTAATTACTTTTAGAATACAATTGTTCATTACATCAAATATCTTTCCTGTTTGTTGGTATTCCGTTTCCCAACTGATGCCTTGGGAGCCTGTTAGCGTCACCTAGGCAGTCAACACTGTCACTCTAGCCGTTGATAGACAAAGATAAAAATACACTGGCTTAAATCATGGTTTATGTCGATGTTTTATGCAAAATCCTCATCAAATATATTCCGAAACAATACCCGTTGAAAGGAGCAATGCCATTAATTTTAAGTGCATCTTAAGTTTGCTATTGTTATTGACACAGATTTCATATCGCCGAACGCTAGCAGAATGCCATATGATTGAGCTGGAACATCCTTCTGCATAGGTGTATTTGTTGTTCCACTGTTCAAATGACTTGTATTAATGCTGTTGATATCTCCACCAAAATGTGTATGTAATGTTATTTAACAATAAAATGTATCACTTTACAATATTGTAATTAAATAGTTTATGCTATATTTACCCCTTAGCCTAAAGGTATGTCCACAACCGCTTTTTATTAAAGTGAGTGAGTAAGTTAAGATTTTCAGTCACATCGGCGATATTTCAGCCATATCGTGACTAAAAACTAAGTTATAATTGCGTAATAAATCATGGTAAATTATAAAAAAAACTGTCGGCAAAGGACAGTAACAATAAATAGCATTTCACAGATATAAGTGTAAAGCTGCTATGAAAGACAATATAATATAAACAAAACGGGCTATAGATCACCATACCAGGGACCATGGGCTTACAGTACCTTTGCTACCTGCTTGGACCCTAGCTGGATTACAGCCATTGGCGATTGTAGCTTTTTATTAGAGAGTCCGAGACTTGCTCAAAGGGTTTCAAATTGAGTAAGATTAATCTCGATGACAATTATTGTTAGACCAGTCAGTTAGACCAGCAACAACTGAGTTTATCTGGGCCTCTGGTGTGGAATGTCCTTCATGACTGAAGATCAAGTATGAAACGCAAAAGTAATCTTATGCAGTTAATAACTATGTTATATATTTAACTTGGTTTACAAGTCACAAACTTCAGAGATTACATTGTGGACAACATGCATTAGGGTGGAATTAGCAATCAAGTCAGGACTATGATGCTACGCCAAATTTTAATGTGATATGAGATTAAAGAGGCATGCGACGCAAAATGCAAAGGGTATACAACTTCCTTCTGGTGACGTCCCCAGTGTGGTGCTCTGCCTTCAGTAGTTGGCGATCTATAGCCCATTTTTATTTTGTAATTCCTAAATAGTACGTACTTTTATGTTAATGCTAGTTTTAAATCTCTAACTGTGATATACTAATTGCTTTACTGTCCTTTGGTGACAGATTTTATGAATTAAAACTATAAAGTATTTACTGTTTTAGTCACGATATGGCTGAAATATTGCCAAAGTAACTGTAACTTTTAACTCACTCACTCACTTCTGGTGACTCGTTTTGACTCGTGTTGATGTGGTATAAGATGACAGGGGCAATTGTACAGTGATGTAGAGACTTCCATACCATGCGGGATTAGTTTATTGCTGTTCTTGAAGATGACAGATTACTCCAAAAGTATCTGACTTTCTACACCATTGCTTACATCAGAGATTAATTCACTTCTTATCGCACACTACGTCAAGACAAATTATTTTGCGTAGAGATTTCTGAGTGGACACATGACATTATGTTCATTAATATAAGACTCTTTGATATATTTCTTTATGCGGTTCAAGGAATAATGGTTCAAGCTAGTCTTATTCAGATTCATTTCTTTGGTTAATATTCACATTTGATGAGATATATGAAAGTCAGTTCAAAGTGCAGCTTTAGAAAACGTTTTTTGTTAACATTTATGCCTGAAAACACCAGAATTACACCAACTTGTAATTGTTTGGAACCCTGGATATTGTGTACGCCCCCATTGATTGTCGTCAACTGAACCCGCCAGGCCTTATATTTGGTAGACAGCTGCTGCATATCTTCGTGTCATTCACTGTAGTATAACATTCCTTGGACTTGAATATCTTGAATATACACTGCAGTATTAGCCGCTTTTGGCATGGCTTCCCAACATACTGGTTAAAAAAGACAGGCTTTAAGGAAGGGCAGCCTCTTCGTGGTGAGTACTGTTGGACGCTAATAGCTCTTCCCCTGTATTGACCCGTAGTAGAATAGAACCTCGGCACCACATTGCTGGTCACATGAGGCGACTATACGGGCTACCCTGTTCGCCGTTGGCCCCGTGTTGATGGAGGACGGGATTATGGTGGTTGGGGGCACTGGTTCCAGGAACAGCGTTCCTTTGCACAACACACCACTTCGACCCTTACTTCACCTGGTGGTAGAATCGGTCCGGTTCTGTCAATCGACTGGTCATGTCAAGTCCTTTGTTTGAACGTTTGACATCTACTTTACTCAGTAAAATCTCTTTTGTGTAGCCTTCTGTTCACAAATGTGTTTAATATACTGGCCTGAAGCATATACCTCGAAGGCGGTGATTCATGGGCCAATCTGGTTGATCTTCCAGAGAATAGCGTTCCTGTATACTTTTGATGTCAGTTTGCTGGAATACTGTTTACATATTAGATCGCCCTTGCTGGCGCTCCGTGAGGGCAGGGTGCAGGGTTGCCGCACCACAATATTTACATCATGGGTAAACTCAATAAAAAGAACCCCGTGAACTTTCAGAATCAGCATCCATGCAGGAAGCAAATGAACTGTAAGTCCCCATGGTCCCTAGTATGGTGAGCTACCTTCACTTGTTGGTAGTCTATAGCCTGTTTTTACATTGTCTTGTCATTTCTAGTTAAAATGTTTTAGATTTAATTGCTAGTTTTAAATGGAAATCTGTGGTAATTTAGTTGTTTTACTGTACGTCCTTTGCAGTATCTTAGCTAACTTTGTTTTTATTCATTTATATATGTACAACTTTCTTAGTCACGATATCGCTGAGATACTGCCGATGTGACTTTAAATTTTAACTCACTCACTCACTCACTCACTCACTCACTCACTCACTCAGAATCAGATTCGGAACTTGATGCTTCTTCTGATGAATTTGTCTCGTTTTCTCCTCAATGAAGCAAAGGGTGAACGTTGCCTAACTTTATATTCACCATTTCTTTTGGCTAAAGGGCTACAACCTGATGATTTCAAAGATGACACAAACCTGCGTTCAGGCATTCGATTGGTTGAGTGTGTCAGGAAGTATCAATTAACTCTATGACTGCAACAAAATTGGCTGATACCTGCTCTGCTCACAAGACCTTATCCTTCTCCAAATGTCTTATACAAGAGACCAAGTGTTTGCTAATGAATCAGTTTGGCATATTTTGTCTGAGTTAAGATGTCAAGATGTCATTGAGGGAAAACGTTTAACCTATCGTAAAGATGACGGTGTGTTCCTATTGACCACATTTCTCTTAACGTGTGACTCCCCGGTACTACTTAGCTCTATGAAATTTGGATGTTTTTCGATTCGTATGGAACTTTTCACCTCGAAACAAA